AGAAGCAGGCTTCCCGCAGAGCAGGGAGCCCGATGTGGGGCTCGATCCCAGGACCCTGGGATCATGACCTGAGCCGAAGGCAGACGCTTAACGCCTGAGCCACCCAGGCGCCCCGTTCTCTCTAGTTCTTGCGATATTGCTCACAATAGGTACAATGATCAGAGATGCTCAGAGGGAGGTTCAGAGGCAGAAAGGGCAGACCTGAGATCCCATCATCATTGCCTGAGTTCTCGGGTACCCGGAGCTGCAGGCCTGTCAACGAACACTAGGCCCAGGCTGGGCCACCTGAGACCCCCCAACCTCCCCCCAAGCGCCCACCTGGAGCAGGCGAAGCGACAGAGCACAGGACCCTCGGTGTGAGGAGGCCCTGAACAGAGACAGCAGAGTGAGACTGGTGGAGAACTCTGGACTGGCTGTTTACCCTGGTTTGACAGTAAAAATGAGCAGCGTGACCCTGAGCAGCATTTTCCCTCTCTGGGCTCCTTTATTCACTGGGAAGGCCAGGGGCAGGACCGGGTACCTAATCTTTGGGGCATAGCACACAATGAAAATGGGGGCCTCTGGTTAAAAAAATGCCTACGAATTTCAAGATGGCAACAGCAGATCATTAACCCCGGAGCGGGACCCTTCCCAGTGTGGGGCTCTGTGTGTCCTCACAGGTCGCACACCCATGAAGCCAGCCCTCGGGTAGGGTGGGACAAAATGATGTCTAATGCCCCTTCACGCTCTATTGTCCAGGAAAGTTGCTTTTCTGCTGTCATCCTCATTTTGCATATTTATAATTTATCTGTCACCCAGAAAATACGTGCGGCAACCTCTCTCCACCTGGCTCTGCCTCTGTCTGGTGTCATAGGATCATCTCCCTCCTCGTCCCATCTGCTCTACCACCCGAAGACCTTGCAAGGTTTGCTGTGTCACAAATGCGAGAAATTGCCCCAGGCCCGTGGCCATCTTGGAGGAGCCGAGGGAGAGCACGGGTGGGAGGAAGGAGAATACGCCCTTCTTCTGTCCTGGATCCCATCCTGTGCAGACAGCTCCTTCATTTCCCAGGTCTTTCCCGCCTCCCCGAGAATCGGAACAGAGGCATTGAGAAGAGTGAGTCAGCAGCACAAGTCCTGTCCTTGCCTCGTACCCCCCCAATCCCCCACCCAGGGGCTGAATACCTCAGTTCCCAAACTCTCTGAGTCAGGGAGGTCGCCCCGAGGACATCTGCCTGTTTATCTGAGCCAGCCGGAGCAAGCAACAGCTGCTCAAATGAGCCCAGGAGGGAGGACACTTTCCGGGGCCAGGAGGCCAGAGCAGGTGGACTCCTTGCCCTCACCCCGGACGCCTGCAACACTGTCCAGGTGGCGGAGTACAGGGAGGGCACTGGCTTCCAGCATTTCAGAGCCTCGGCCCAGCGCCCAGCAGAGCCCCTACCAGCATCTTTTGGGATGCTGAGCGTCGGGGTTGTCAAAGTGTAGGAGGCAGTCCACGGCACAAACTGGTCCCTGAGAAACAGACAGAGGCACTGGCCTGAGTGTCAGGGCCCCGGGGTCTCTCTCAGGTTTTGCCACTGACCTTGGGGGAAAAAAAAAATCACCTTTTCTCTCTTGATACTCTCTGGGCCTCAGTTTCCTTATCCAAAACGCGAAAGATCTTCTTTGCCCCCTTCCCCAAGGCAGAATGAATCGGTCCTTCTCTGGGATCCCCAAGCATCCGGTACTGTAACTTGATCAGGCACTTTCCACGTCGCGAGATGGTTGGTCAGTTCCGTATCTGACTCTCCCTCTAGGTGATCAGCTCCTTAAGGGCAGGCAACATATTTCAGTCCTTCCCTGGTGCCCCCCTTAGCCCTCACCCTCCACCCTTCTGTGTCTTAGATGCTCAGACTGCACCGGGGACGCTGGTGTGCAGGGAACGACCATCTTTCACATGCAGGAAGGTGAAAACATCACACGTGCCCTCTGCCTGCAATGGGAGAGATGTAAACAAAGGGAAGCCTGAGATCTCTGCCCACCACGCCAGCCCGAAGAACTGTCTTTGGAAACCTCCCCGACTCGCATGCCCTCTCTCTCTCTGTTCTGTGCCTGCCTGGCCACCGCTGAATTTTGTCTTCTGTCACCCGACTGCAATGGCCCAGTGTCCTGTCGACATCCGACGGTCATGTGAAGCCCAGAAGGCCCAGCAGTGCTGCCTGAGGAGAGTTCGGGCTCTTGCCAGGAATGGTGAGGCAATTCCTGGTAATGGGCATGGGGCACAGGTATGAACTTCAGACCAGACCCTGGGGAGGTGTCTAAGGAATAAACGGAGGTGAGAAAATTCTGGAAGCAGCATCTGCTTCCCCTGGGAGCCCAAGAGGGCTGGGAAAAGGCCTGTGAGCCCTTGGGGAGGCGCAGGGCTCCACCGACAGGCGGACTCCTGAGGCTCCTCTCCTGTTCTTTCTGCCACTCTCCGCTAGTGGGTAAGGAACACTTTGGGGACTTGCAGTCACCGGAACCGAGGCAAGGTTGGTATTACGGACCAAACGGAGCCCTCCTTTCCCTCAAATTCATACTTCGAAGCCTTAATCCTCAATGTGATGATATTTAGAAATGGGCCTGTAAGGAAGTAATTAAGGATTAATGACGTCACAAGGGTAGGGCCTAATGCAATGGGCTGGTGTCCTTATAAGAAAAGATGCCAGAG